TTGTTTATTTTCATCAATTTGTTGTTGTAATGTTTCTTCTATAGATGAAATAATATCTGATGGAACAGTAATCGACAAATTTAAAGGTATTTCATGAAGAGATTTTAATTTTTCATTATTATCAAAAGTTATTAATTCATTAATTTTATTTGTTATATTAGTAAATGGTATATCTTCGGATGTCTGAATTTCTTCTGGTTCTTCTTGAACAGGAGAAAGAATAGTTGTAGAATAAGATGATAATTTCATTTCAGATTTTTGTCTCTGATGATCAATTGTATTGACATCGAAAGATTTATTATTTGTATCAGATGCTGATACTACTGGTAATGATCTTTTAGATTTTAATGGAGCAATGTTCATTTCATTGAATGAAAAATTAGTTGTATCTTTTACATGAATTAATGGTGGTATTGGTTCGAGATTTTCTTCATAAGTTGCTCGTTGCGGAACAAGTAAAACATGTTTTGATAAATCTACTCGATGATGAATAACAGTATTACCTTGTTTTATTTTTTCAAGTTGAACTAAACGTGTTTTTCGTTTGATTTTTTCACGAAATTTTTCTTCATTTTTTGCTCGTTGTTCATCAGTGTTTGATTTTGGCGAGTTAACATCAACAAACTATCAATATTTAAAATATGTTTAAGTCCTTCCCCTTTACATCGCATGAAATTTTCTAAACGACTCGATAACATTATGTTTTCATGAGATATTTATCAAACAAGTGTATAATAAATTATTTGATTTTAATTTAAACTTAGATGAAAAAAAAAATACATTCGATTTCAAGTAGAAATCAACAGACATATTTTTAGACCTTCGTTGCTTCCGAAAAGTGAATGTGGACTTGACCTCTATACTGCGTAACATACTGATAATGGACAATCATAGAGAATCGGTGTTTGAAAGTTATTTCATGAAAACATGACAATATTGTGCTGAAAATTCCACTATAACCTTTTCTTTATAACTCTTTCATCAAATATTGAATATGAAAGATTTTACTCGATGTCGAATATAAACTTCTCCATATTCTCGTTTCGATTGAGGAATAGATCGTTGTGTTGAGGTAGCAATTTTTCGATCTTTAGATTTTCTTTGAATAATTGAATATTTCTCGACATTTCCGACTATTGTTAATGGTGATGATAAATGTTCAGAATTATTTGGCATGTCAACTATTTTAGATGAAGATATATTATTTGTATCAACGATATCATTTCTAGGAAATAAAGAACTATTCATGGCTACAAAAGACTTTGACTAGGTACACGAATTTTATGAATAGTATCAGTTGTGTGATATTCTTCATCATGTTCGATTGCTACACCTATTTTCATTGGCAATGAAATTCTCTAGAAATATCAAATTATATTTAATAGAATTTTTTACTCTACAACACTTACTGATGGAACTTTAACATCTACAATATCTGATACTTGTTGAGTATTTTCAAAAACCATTTCAATTGAATATTTCATTTTTTGTAATTCTTGATATAATTCTTTTGCATTAGTTGT